CTACCCTGATCCTGGCCCTGCGCTGTCTCTCCTAAAGCCTGCAGCGTAGCTGTGAGACATCCCGATAATCCGGGGCTCTCTGAGGTTGCAGAGCAGCCCGGTGTGTTCGCCAGGTCAGCGCCTGGCGCGGTGCCGGCACGTTTGTGCGAGCAAAGGAGCAGTGTCCCAGCCCGCTTGGAGAAGGGCACGATGGAGCCTGTCCTGCGGATAATGCTTGGATAAAGCCCCCTCCTTGCTGGGCCTCTCCACCGCAGCACTGGTAGACGGATGAGTGGGCTACAGCAGTATTAATCATGTCGAGCCACTGGACAGAGATGTAAAAATAATAAGCCCCACCCTGCCTTTTCCAGTTACGTTCCCTGGCCTAGAGAATAGACTTGGATTCCCCCCCGCCTCGCCATGTGGTTTCAGTTACGGTTCTGTACAATGCCACCTCTCTGCATCTTTTGTGATTAATGGGTCTGAACAGGCACTCGGGGAAGAGGGGACGGAAATTAAGTTTAGGCATCCGTGATGATCTGTTAGTCCCTGTTTACGTGGTTCTGCTGCAGGTACTAAGAGGAAGATGTGAAGGATCACAGGTTTAGAAGCTGAGAGGTCAAATTTTGCTCCTAGGGGCCAGTCTGTCAGCAGGCTGCTGATCAAACCTCAATAGTCGTGAAGAATTCTGAGCTGGGAAGGAGCCTTTTAAATACAAGCATTGTCACCGTGTGGTATGTCTTTCATATGGGGTGTTTTGTTTTGTATAGGAACAAATCTGTGAATAAAACTCGGATCCTGCAGGAATTTTTCCCCGATTCCTCTTTGCTGTCCTTCCCCAAGACGGTGTCCTTGGAGAGCTGCTTCCTCATCCGCCATCCAGATTTGGGGAATAAGGTGAGAAACTCATCTCCCTCTCTGTGAGTCGTCCGCCGGGAGCAGCAAGTATTTGGGGGATTTGCAAGGCGTTTTCGGCTGATACGATGCTGGCAGAAAGCTTTAGTGTCAGATAGTTCTGTGTAGTGTGGCATCCTGGGGTCGCTGTACCCCCAGAAGTTGTGTCTAGTTCTGAGCGGGTGGCACGCTGTGCCCATCTCCCTTGGCAGTCGGAGAAGCTGGTGTCCCAGCTCCGTACGCATTTACGTCATCGAATCACAGGATGGTTTGGGTGAGAAGGGACCTGAAAGCCCCCCCCAGTCCCACCCGCTGCCACGGGCAGGGACACCTTCCACTAGACCAGGTTGCTCCAAGCCTCATCCAGCCTGACCTTGGACACTCCCAGGGATGGGGCATCCACAGCTTCTCTGGGCAACCTGTCCCAGTGCCTCCCCACCCTCTGCGGGAAGAATTTCTCCCTGATATCTAATCTAAACCTCCCCACTTTCAATTTAACCCCGTTACCCCTTGTCCTGTCACTCCCCGCCCTTGTACAAGGTCCCCCCAGCTTCCTTGTAGCCCCTCCAGGTAAAGGCCTTGCCCTGTGGCTGGGGGAGGGGAGGGTCTTTTTGTTGCATTTTAGGAGCTGCTCCTTGGCAGCGAGGCTCACCCATTCCGAGGTACCTGCCATGGAGGTGTTTCACTGAAGATGGTGGCACTTTGGGCTTCTAGCCTGATCCTCTCCTCTGGTTTTTTGTGGGTGTGGAGGGGCAGTGCCCTGCGTTGCCCTGGGCAGAAGAGGGGAGGATGACCCTTGAGGATGACCCAGAAGAGGGGAGGATGATGCAGCCGACCCAGCTGTGACCGTGGGGAGCAGCAGACCCGTGGTGTGCGCTGTCTCACTGCTGCAGGGCAGTGACTTGCCCCTTGTTTGATCAGACAGACCCAGGAAAAGCTCGCAAGGCTCTTGAAATATTCTCTTCTCACCCCAGAGCTACAGTTTGCGCAGCCTCTTTGCTGTTGGAAGCGGGCAGCTCACCCTGAGCGTCGTTCCTCTGGACAAGTGCCGAGGACACTGTGAGGTGTTCAAGGTGGAGCTGGAAGCTGGAGATTTGGGTGAGTACCTGTTCTGTAGGGTGCAGGGTCTGGGAGATTCCTTGGAGCCGGGAGGCTGCTTCCAGCTGGGTCTCTTCTCTCTGGCCCCTGAGAAGGTGGTGTGTGCCTTCCCGCCTCCAAACTGGTGTGTGCCTGCGTGCAGCAGCACGGAGGAGTGGTCGTTCTGGGCTGGGGGTTTGTGGCCTGAAACACAAACAGCTGGGTAACACGAGATACTTGGTGTGAAAACTGAGCAGAATGGGCTACACAAGACACGATGCTCTGCTGGGTGTCACTGAGGGCAGGGTCTTTCCAAAGAGCTCCTGAGCAGTCATGGATTCGTCTGATACGGTCTTTTCATTGCCCCTTCCAAAGGTTATGCCAGCGCAGATTACTGGACGATGAGCTTCCTGGCCAAAGGGACGGAGCCGGCAGTGGTTTGTGATGGAGCTGCCAGCTAAGACGGGGGAGGGAGAAGAGAGCTGTTTCCAGGACAGGACTTTCAGCTTTGAAGCCGAGGCAACATCTTGAAAGCGATAGAGCTGGGGCAGCTGGGGCAGGCAGCTTTGCCACCCTGCATGTTTACAGTGTTTAAAAATGACTTTTCCTGACCCTTGAGGTAATTCTTTGCCTTTCCTCAAATGTGTTTTGGGAGAAGCGTGACTTATTTATGACCTTCCCTGTCCCCTCAGGTAAGCCGGGGGTTTGCAGCAAGGGGGTTTCTTTTCCCAGGAGCAACAGAGGGATTTCTCAGGATGAGATTCACCTTGTGTCCTTTGTGGATTATGGCACTTCCGAAACTTCCTGGGGAGTTTGGGGAGTGGAGGAGGTGTGTGACATTTCTGTGTACATTCCTCCTGAGGAGGAGGCTTCGAGCCTGGCTTGTCAGGCCAGCTCTGTAAAGGGAATGAATGGGTGATGTGTCCCAGCTCCACCCCGTCTCTCCGTCACGTACGTCGCTGTGTGCCTCAGTACTGTGCCCCGCAAAGCCCGTCTCGGCTCCGTGCTCCAGGGCTGAGACGAGCCTTGCAGCCGAGGGGCAGAGACCCTCACCCACTGCATCGTTCTCGTACCAGAAGAATCTGTTCAGGCCTGTTCTGGGTGTCTTGTGATCATTCTGCTGCCGTTCTCCGTCAGCAGGTTGTGAGTGAGTCAAATAGTAACTGTGCTTTTTTCCCCCCCTTCCTACAAAAATATGGATGCGGGGTTTAGTGGCGGTGGTGCCGAGCGCGCAGTAGTTCTGGATGGAGCCGGGGCTGGGCGCAGAGCGGCTCTGTACACGTTTCATCTGACTCTGCGCCTGAGACAGCGCGGCTGCGTGACTCTTTTCCTGCAGCCCTTGCTTTGAGGGGCTCTGCCTGCGTTCCCAGGGTACCTGCGGGAGCACCTGGAAGCTTCCTCATCCCTGGCAGGTTTTTGCATCGCCTCCTTGAGACCTGGAACTCTGTCTTCAGAAGGAACGTTGGGGTTTTTTCCTGAGTCCTTTCCAAGCTGCCTTCGCGTGCTTCCTGTTGCTGGAGCGCTGCTTGATGCAGTGCCCTGAGAGAGGCTCGGTTTCAGTGTTTGCAGGCTGCGGATGCTGCCGGCCCTTCCAAGTCCGATCCTTTGGGTCTGATCCTGCCGCTGAAGATCATTTACAGATGTGTCAGGCTGAACTCACAGGCCAGGGCTGGGGTTCAGGACACACTCTCACAGTTGTTACTATGGAATTGGGAGGGGTTTTGTTTGAAAGTAAGTTAACTCTGTTCTCAGGAGCAAGAAGCTTTTCCTCTGTAAATATTTTAGGTACGTGTAAAATAACGGATTGGAAAAATGTCTATCCAGCCTTTGGTTGTGAGTGAGACCAGGAGAATGGGAGCAAACATCCTACTAACCTTGTTAGGGTCTGACAAAAGCTGCCAAGTGGGCTGACCAGGTCTGGCTCCTGTGCAAGGATGAGGTAGAGGACAGTTCCTGCTCCCAAGAATTTAGTCTGAGGCCTTGACACTACAAACATTTCTATGCATAACCCTTGTTTTTCTCCCATAGACAGGTAAGAACAACCCCAGCACCCGTGTCAGTCCATGTGTCTGGCCCTCGACACTGGACCAACACGCACCAGGTCTAGTAGAACCAAAGGGGGAGAGTCTGACTCTCTCAGGACAGAAAAGGACGAATTTAATTTGTAGCAAAGTATTAAAGGGAATTGAATTAATAAGATTTCTGTTAGTATTGTTAATGCTTGGGGTGTGTTTTACACTTGTGACACTACATGCAATCTTGTACATGCCAAGACACACACACCACCCCTCTCCCTCTTAAAGCCTGGGTCTTAGTTCATGGAAATTCGGGAATTTGGTGATGGCAGAATTAAGACCTCGTTAGTGACTGTTGCTATTTACACTTTGGCAGCTTCTCAAGTTCAGAGGCTGAGGAGGTGACTTCACCTCTGACTGCTTTTGTACCTGACCTATTTGGGGAGAGAACCTGCTGGACCCATTACTGCTGAGGCTGCGGGTGGGTTGGTGATGCTCTTACTTCTAAGTGTCCTTGAATGTAACTTGTAAAAGAGCTGCGGAGACAATTCTCACGTGTCTGAAACGCCGGTGTTCTGTGAGTCGGCCTCAGCCCTCCTGGCTGTCTGGCTCCTCGGGAAGAAGCAGAGAAAGTGGATCTGCTTACGGTCGCTGTTTAGACCGGGGGGAAAGGGGGTGGCTCTAGGGCAGGTTTGTGCCTATTTAGTGAAAGTGCTCTCACGTCTCCCCTCCTCAAAGAGTTGCAGCTGGTTGGACAGAAGATGGTGAATCTGGCCTGTCTGCAGATCAGCTTTCCAAGTGCACTTTATGGTCTGTGCTTAAGTTTCCAGATCGGTGTCGAGGCGATACGTTGCATATGTCCCAACCTCGCTCCCTTCGGAGTTTACATCATTTGTTTTTAAACTTCCAGTATATTTTCTCTTCCTCTTCCAAAAGCTGTAAGGAATTAGCTGCTAAACTAAAACAGGAGGGCAATTCTCCTGCTGATAAAGAGCCGACTTTGGCCCTAGCCGCTGTTGAGTGCAGAGCCCCAGTCTGCAGCGCGGCTTCTAGAGCAGCTCCTGTCTTCAGCTGCCAGAGAAGTAGTGCTAACGCCTTCTGCATCGCCGCGCGGGCGAGGAGCCGGGGTGGAAAACTCGGAGGTGAGGCCAAAGTGCCAAAACTAGGATGGCCAAGAGGAGGTTTTGACGCCTTGGCCACATGGCTGCGAGTGAGCCCTAGGTGTGACTTCCTTATCCGTGGCTCCAGCTTCCCAGAACCTTTTCAAAGGCTGCGGGAGGCTGGGACTTGCCTAGAGAGCCTGGCAGCTCCGAGTGATCTGCGGAGGCTGGACTGGGGGGAATGCGGCTCTTCCCTCGGCTGTTGAGGCATCGCGGCGATGGCTGTGGTCAGGGCATCACGGGGGGTGTGTCCCTTCGTGGTCTCCTCGCCTCTGGCTTCGCTTTGGCATTTGTGCGTATCCAAGTGTATGTGCCGGTTTGGACAATCCCCCCTCCTCCCCCTGGCCAGCTCAGGGGTTGCCCAGTCAGTGTGTGCAGCCCAGCTTTTTCAAATCCGTGTGTGTGCTTCGGAGCGCTTTGCCCATGAGCTGGGCGATGGATTCCTGCTCACCCGACATCCCGGAGGCTGAGGAGCTGCTCTGACATCGGAGAGGTCGGTGCTGCCCAAGAGCCCAGCGGGCAGGCATGCGGGGCAGTCATCTCTCGGCTGGTCAGGCTGGAAAGACGGGCTGTCACCCGTCAGCCGGGCGGGAGGATCCTGGCTTAAAGCTGTTTGCAGAAGCAGGGGTCACGGATTATTGCTGTCAGTCAGTCCTGAGCTCAGGGTAACCGAAAGGAGGAGAAAGCAGTATTACTTGCTTCAGTACAAGGAGATCAGCATCCTGTTCGGGAGCCAAGCTGCCAGTTTCTGTTGATTCTCTTTTGTTTCCTTCCCTCTTTTTTGTCTTTTTTTTCCCCCTTCCCACCAGCACTGCTCACACAACTTCCCCCGTCCTCTGCAGCCCCCAGCCTCAAAACTCCCTTTGCAGCGCCCTGGAGAGCTATCTAGGGTCGGGTTTCCCGGGAATCTTGGGCCTTTAGCTTCTCCCGCCAGTCCTCTTGCTGTACTGGGCTGGCAGAGAAGCTGGTTTTACTGGGCTGGCTCAAAGCACCTCCCTTCTCCCTGGCTTTCTAGCAGCAGGGCCGCAGTGTAGGAGCAGCCTGAGCGAGAGGTGGGGAGCAGGAGAGCAGCTCGGTCGGGAGATGCGAGCTCTCCGAGCTCCAGCATCTCGGAGGTGATTCTCCTGCCTTTCGACCCCCGTGTTCACACCGGTAACGCTGCTCAGGGGGGTGAAGTTTGCAGCTCAACCCCAGGCTCGGTGGTCCACGTGGCCCCCAGGAGAACCGAACGCTTTCTGGGGGAAAAAGGTCCTTTTGGTTGGCCTTGGTGGTGGGTGCACAAAGCTTCTGCAAACCAAACGCTCTCCTTTCCGTAAATCTTATATGTAGAACAATGTTCTCCCCTTCAGGAAACTCCTTGTACAGGATAGATTTACCATCCCGCTGCGTTAAACAAGGACGATGCTGGACTTCCTCTTTGCTTTGGAGATTCAGAGGCATGACAGGTTGATTCATTTTTAGCATTATCTCCTGGTCTGCAGGGAGGGGAGGCACGTTATCAAGGCTCAGGGCTGCTGGGAAGTAAAGCTGTGTATGCATACAGACTGTTTCAGTGCTGAACACTATAAATTCAGTGGTGGATTAAAAAAAAAAAAGGAATGTAAATATGCACTTAATGCAGAATTTTATGGATGGTCATAATTTAATATATTGCAAACTTTGTAAATACTTGGGAAAAGCCTGTAAAGTGTGTAAATAAATGAGATTTGTATGTAAGAAGAATAAAACAAGTTTTTACTTTTTGCAATTAAATGCAAGTGTCTGCACCTTTTCCCCTCCCCTGATTTATTTTCCTGTTGCATGTCAGCCGTTGAGGGGTTATTTAACCTCTTTTAAGGCACTTTCTCTAAGTGGAAGTGTCATTATAACTGAAAAGCCGGAACGTTTTTGTTTGGAAAATGTCAAAAGAAACACTCTGAACCATATTTTAGCCTGGATCCCTACACAGAGTTGATGCAACGTAACAATCTCTGTCCTTCCTTCAGCATTCAGCTTATTTCAGCCAAACTGTGAGGGGTAGAAGACGATAGGCTGCTTCAGAGCTCATAGAAACAGGCAGAGGAGAGACAGGACAGCGCGTTAGCCTCGTTAGACCCCGGGAAGCCACGCTGCAGACCCTCGAGACGTGAGTCAGTGCAAAACCGGGCTCTGTCGCTTCTGCTGTGCCTCGCTGGAGCCCCCCTGGCCCCCAGCCAGACCCCGTGCACCCCCAAGGTGTGCGGCTGCTGTCTCCCGGGGTGGAGGGGCTGCTCCTGGAGCGAGCAGAAGGAAAGCCGCATTCCTCACGCGCTTACCTAATGCCGGCTGGACACAGCTCGGCAGCCCCAGGGTGGGGCTTGGACCTTGCGCTGTTCATCTCGATGCTTCAGACATTGGCTCCAGAAAGAGCCGTCGGGGCAGGTTGGGGAGTTGAGAAATGGCCCTGCGCCCCCTCTGCCAGCAGCCTGACCGACTGCGTCGGCCGTTACTCACGTTTCCCTGTGA